TTGCAGCTCTCAAGCAGAGTTTAATGGCAATCTTTACTGCCCTTGTCAAAATTCATAATTTTAAAACAATAGGGGAAGAATTATCAGGGGAATAAGTGTCTGGCATGGAGCAATTTTGCTTCCTTGCTAGAGAAGGAGAATCCAGGACATTTAAAAATATAAACCAATTCCTACCAGTTATTTTTCACTTCAAGACAGTAAGGCAACTTCTAAAGCCCATCAAATGCCTGATGTGAGCTCTAATGAGTTTTGACCTTGCCTTTTACACAAAAAGCTTTGCAGACTTCCTGTGCTCATTGAAGAATGTGGTATTTTCTGATGCAGATTTTTTCAAAACCACTCTATAAAATCCCTGTGGACACAAGCGCTACTGATATTCATGCACTAGCATTTGAATCTTCCTAGAAATGCAGTTTTTTAGCTCAGTTTTTACTCCCTGCTATATTCAGGAGGTGAGTTAATCTGTGACTGCATTAACATGAGGCTACCATCACAAGGATGTAGTTTTTTCTTAGTGACCCAGAGTTTTCCAATGTCCTCGTAGAATTCAGATGAGACAGAATTGCTTTATTCCCCTTGATCAGGAATTCTGGAAAGAGAGATGGACCTGAGCACAATATCACACATTTAAAACACCCACAGACTTATTTAGTACTTACTGACAACTTGGGCGTCCACAAAAATCTTTTGTTTTGAGATGCTGTATAGAACAAGTGCTATCCAAACAGTGTTTGGAAAGTCAAGTCTTCCAACAGCTGCAGTGACAAACTTCGGGATGAAACTAACAGCCCGTATGAGAAGTTTATTTTCAAGGAGCTGGGTGCTGGAGGGATTTGCTGTATCTGTGCTTTTTCATCTTCAAGGTACTGGCTATGTGATTTTACACAGCATCAGTAAATGACATGCAATGATGGATCTAAATGTAAGGTATAAACATACATAGAAAAGGCTGCCACCTGTTCCTAGGAGCTTGGTTTAAAGAAGGAAAGCCAACTTTCCTTGCGCTAGTGGCAAACCCTCTCCACACGTTAACCCCATTTTGCATTCCACTATGGAGAACTGGGAGGAGTCTTTTAAAAATAATTGGTCAGGAACGAAATAAAGTCAAATGAAATAAACGCTGCATCTGAGAACAGTTTATCAATAAAGAAAAAGAAAAAAACAAATTAAAAAGGAGTTACCCCAAACAGGGCGCTCCCAGCGGAGGTCAGGGAGCGCTGTCCGTGTCCCAAGGCAGGGCTGTGTGTGCTGCCTGCCAGGGCCAGAGCCTGGCGGGCTGGACATGAGGTGAGGTTGTTCGGGCAGGAGGGCCGGGAGCCTGGACAGGGTCCTGGGGAGGATCACGGTGGTGGGCAGGCTGGGAGGCAGCCAGGGCTGGACACAGGTGGCTCAGGCAGGGGCACAGAGAAGAAACAGGCAGGGTGCTGGTCAGGGACACAGGGAGGCAGGCCGACACAAAGGCGAGCAAGAGCCAGTGAGGGCAGGGGAGCCAAAATGCAGGCTGGGGCCAGGGCAAAAGTGTAAGGCTCAAAAAGCCCCTCAAGCCCCTTGTTGAAAAGCAAGTTTCAACAAGCAAGTCTCAAAGAGCCCTCAAATCACCAAAGCCACAAAATCAAAGGCACAGCCCCAACCCAACAAAACTCAAAAAAGTTTCGAAAAGCCCCCGAGGCTTTTGACGCAATTACTTTTTATGCTCCTGGCTCCTCCCAAAGCCTGCTTGCTGACAGGACACCATTGCCCCAGTCCAATGTCCCACTGCCATCCATTGGTAGAGACCTTTTGCCATCTGATTGCAGAGTGTCTCTGGGGCACAGTCCCTGGTGTGCCCTGCTGACTGCCTGTCCCATCCGAGATGTGAACTCATTCCAAGCAGTCCCTCCAGAGACAAGGCTTTCCTTCATCTTCTCCTAGGTGCCTCCTGGACATGGCACATGTGCAACCCCTCCCCCACAGGCCTCTGACAACCAGGGCTGAGACGAATAAATTGGTTCCTTACACCCCAGAAGTGGATTGTCTGGGGACGGGTGACATGAGTGTGGAAGGAAGGTGAATCCTCATCAGGGATGGAGAGAGATGGCAGATGGGTACTTGGAATATGGGTGTGACTATTGTTGAGATGATCATGAATAAATTCAGATTGCACTTTGCGTTCTGGATAAATTAACCCCTCAGTGTCAGAGGGGATCTTTTCTAGCTGACAGGAAATTGTGGAGGTAAGCTCAGGCAAGCTGTTCCTTGTAAGACACAGACTTTTGCCTTGCTGGAACTCACTGTCTACTTGCAGGAGGAGTAGGGGAACCAAATTCAGACCAAATTCACTTTAGTATTATCTAATTCATCTTAGAAGCTATAATTTTGTGCTTTGGCAGGGTAATTTAGTCCTGTGCTCACTGGGACTGCTCTCCATGTCTCCCACTGTCACAAAATTGAGATCATCTGTTTAATCCTCAGTGTTATGACAGACAAGGAGAAATTTCAGTGTAAGGTGGGAAGTGGAACATTGTTCTGTATGAAGAAATATAGGCCTATATTATAGGCCCATAACTATAGTTATATTACATTAATAATTGAAAATATCTGAAATACCACATAGGGTTAATCCCTAGAGAATTGTGTGGTGCAACTTGTTACTGGGCTGGCCCTGTACAGGTTTAAGGAGCATAAAGCAATCTGTTTGCTTAGGGCTGAAATGTAAACCCTTCTCTAGTGAATAGGACAAGCTGTAAAACACCTCTTGCAGTGCTACTCATGGGCTGGGAGTGTGTGTGTGAAATTATAGAATTTCTGTTGGAAAAGACTTATAAGATAATAGAGTCCAAGTGTTAACCCAGCACTGCCAAACCCATGACTAAAACATGTCCCCAAATGCTGCATCTACACATCTAAATCTCTCTGGGGAGGGTGACTGCACCACTGGCCTGGGCAACCTGTTCAATACTTGACAACCCTTTTGATGAAGAAGCTTTTCCTGATATCTAATCTAAACCTCCCCTGGTCCAACTTGAAGAAATTTCTTTTTGTCCTAGAATCATACTGCAGAATTATTTGGGTTTGAAGGGGCTTTAAATCTCATCCTGTTCTACCACCTGCCGTGGGCAGGGACACCTTCCACTATCCCAGGCTGCTCCAAGCTGCATCCAACCTGGCCTTGAACACTTCCAGGCATGGGGCAGCCACAGCTTCTCTGGGAAACCTGTGCTAGTACCTTGGCACCCTCATGGGGAAGAATTTATTTGTAATACCTAATCTAAGCATGCTGTCATTTTGAATAAAGAGAAGCATCCCTACACATCCTGGTATCCCCTCCTTCAGGTTTCACAGAGGACATGGCAGTTTCTTGCTGTTCAGAGAGGTTGAGGAGGTTTAATTTTGTAGTTATTATAATTTGGGGCTTTAAGTTGTGTAATCCTTTATTAATATTAAGCATTATAAAAATCATCTGTATAAATGCTAATGTATAAAACTTCAATTAAAGGAGCAAATATAGCATTGTGGAAATTTCAGTGCAAAAAAAGCAGCTCTCATCTACTTTTCTGGTTTTGACACTTGTAGCAGTGATCACTTTTTTTTTTTTTGCTTACTCATTATTTATGTTGTATATTTTACTTATTACTAAACCTCTGTGAATTTGTTATTTTTTCCTTTTGAGAAGCAGACTGTTTTTCCAGTCGGGAAGAAATGAGAACCATATAGTGTTTATTCAAAGAATTGTTGAAAAGAAAGATACAGGCAGAAAAATCCAAACCAGTACGAAAGCCAGGAGGCTTACCACCACAAATAAAATTTTACCTCATATATAAAAGTGCATGTGTGTCTCTTGGGTCAAATCCAGTGCACACTTTGTGGTTTGTTAGTTCCTTTGATGTCAAAGGGACCAACTCTAGCTGTTGAAAATAAGGTAAGAATTATAATCTACTGCTTCCAGAAACTCCATCAATTCTGTATATCCCTGGGCAAGTTGGATATTTTGAGGCAACTGGAAGACCAATAGCTGGCCTTTATTTTCACTGCTAGCCAATCTGATTGTATAACCTGTACAAACTGTATCCAAGGAATCCTGTTGAATATCTGTTCTGCTCTGTTGCTGTTCACTTCTGATTACTTGTAATATTATAGATTTATTCTGGATGTGACTGCAAGTTGCAAGACAATATATTGATTCAGAATACCTGGTAATAAAACAGTAATTGCTTTGTTTTAAATTAAATTAAAATTAAGTGACCATACTCATTTTAGAATCCATAGTATTTCATAATTTCTAGTGGTATCATGATATGAAATAGAAGAGACTCCACAGCCAATTACCCTTACATAAACAATAATCCATGTTGTATTTCACAAACAAATCAGGAAAGCTGATCTTACCAGAAATGCATTTGATTTGAACAAATGTTCCCTTTCCAGGGAAAACCAGGAAAAATAGCATGTACCTTTGGAATTATCTGTAGATACTTACATATCTTAATGGAAATTATTTTTACTTCTGTTTATATTAAGTATGACTCAGTTTTATGCTAAACTAATAAAGCTGCTTGGAATTAGATATATTCTATAGTATTTTTATGAATACAAATGCAATATGAAAGCAGTAGTCTTGAGTAAATAATGGGTTTTTCACTCATTACCATATTTAACAAGTAGAGGGGAAAAAAAGCACTGCTTCCAGACCTGAATTATGGTGTTCTGCTGGAAATAGGGCCTGATGCATTTTTCTACTTTCAAAGATTAAATTCCCTGTGGCACACAAACTGCATATTTTCTGAATTGTGGACTAATTTGCATTTTTAAAAACATCTGTTTATGAATATCTTTGTGATAATAATTACTATTTACAAAGTTTTAATCAGGAGAGTGAAATTTTTAAATGAAGATTACTGGAGGGAACAGATTTTACCTTCTGGTCAGCATTGCCACAATTTATTCTATAGTCTGCCAGTTCATTTCCCCCCATCCCTACTTATTTTGTCTCCATTTTAATCACATTTCCTTTCTCATTTTAGGCTTTTTCTCCTGTTACCAGTGGTGGCATGAAAACCCAGGCTGAAGCTCCTGTTTTACTTGGTAAACAAGAAATTATCTGAGAGGGGATGAAAGGAAGGGTTTATTGGGGTGGGGGGATGGGAGTTTGCTTTTAAGAAGATTAATTTCTTTAGTAAAATTGGAGGAACACAGGAACCTGATGTGACTGCTGCACAAAAGATAGTCATGTACTGAGTAAGGAATTGTCAGTGGTAGTGTAGCTGTTTACAGTTACCTAGTCAGAATCCTACCAGCTGCTTCAGAACCTCTACATGAGAAAAAACCACATCCTATAGCCATACAGAGCATCAGAAAAATCTAATAATGGGGCTTGACCTTCAAAGCAAGAAACAATAACTAAGCAGCTTTAATTGTTTTTCTTCTTCAGCTCCTCAGTGTGGGGAGGACTCTACAAAAGATGCCCTGAGCCAGTTTTGCACAAACAAGTGGAAAATCTCATTAGATTTTAACACGTTGAAGGAGAGGCGCTTTTTTTATAGTATAACCATTTTCCTTTCAGACCCCCCAGCATCATAATCAATTAAACACCACAGTCCTGACACTGATTCACAGAAAGGTTAGCATGAAGTGTTTTTGCAGTGTAGAAAACATATCCTCAAAAGTGATGGAAAGGGAGTTATTTCTATGTGAGAATCAGTCCCAGTGTTATATGGCACTCCCTTGATTTGCTGCACATTTTTTTTTTGTTTTGCAGACACAGGACCTAAGATTTCTGGAAGTGAGTGGGAAAAACAAGAGGAAAAGTCTTTGGCTTTTTTATCCATGGGAAGATGATGGGAAGAAAGATGACCTTGCCTTCATCCTTCTCTCCCCCTCTTCACTTCCAACAATTTTGCTAACACTGTCTGATTAGTATAAGACAAAATACTGTCACAGCCAAGAGGCTGGAAATGTAGTATGTTACTTAGCTGAGTAAAATAGGCTACTGCTCTGTCCTTCTTGGAAAAGAAAAAAAAACAAAAAAAAGAAAAAAAGAAAAAAGAAAAAAAAGAAAGGAATCTTTAGGTTGACCAAGTCAAGATGGGCAACATGGATAGAAAGCTTAATGAAAATTCTATAAATTTCAGATGTCAAATCTCTGTTCTCTTTCTCTTTTTACACAAAGGCAAATNTGGCAGACACAAGAACAATGGCAATGCGTGAAAATGAGAGACAAGTCACTCTCTGTCCAACTCCTGGAAGTCTCCGCTGTGGTATTGGCAGGCAGGTTGTTCCAATCAGAGCACCTTAACGTCGTAACAGACTCCATGTTCATTGCCAGGCTCTGTCAAGCGATGTCTGGACCAGGCATTTCAGCATCCTCTGCTGCTGCCATGATAGAAGAAGCACTTGCCTCACATCAAGGCACCATATCCATGATACACGTCAACAGCCATAACCCTGTTAAGGGATTCTTTCAAACCGGCAACAACAAGGCTGACGCTGCAGCGAAAGGGCTTTGGACTTTACAAGATGCACGACAACTGCATGAGTCACTCCATGTTGGAGCCAAAGCACTTGTCAAGAAATGCAACATCTCAATAGCAGACACCAGGCACATAGTGGCTACTTGTCCTCATTGTCAGAAAGCGCCCTTGTGGTCCAGTGGGATCAATCCTAGAGGCCTCAAGGCCTCCAAGATCTGGCAAACAGACTTTACCCTCTGCCAAATATTGAAGCCTCGAGCTTGGCTCGCTGTAACAGTAGACACATGCAGTGGCATGATCGTTGCAACCCAACATGCGAAGAAAAATTCCAAGGCAACGATCCAGCACTGGTAACGGCTATGGCATGGCTTGGCATTCCAAAACAAATCAAAACAGACAACGGTACAAACTTTATTGCCAAGTCAACTCTAGAGTTCGCTACTAAGTGGAACATCACCCTAAAGCAGGGCATTCTGTACAGCAGCATTGGGTCAAGCATCGTAGAGAGAGCGAACCAAACCTTGAAATCTAAGTTAGAAACCTTAGCCAAAGCAGAAGGGTTTACCAATAACATCCCTCCGCCAGAACAGCCATGCTTGCTAGCCACCGCCATGCTAGCGTTGAACCAAATTCCCCAGAGGAGATCAAGCACAAACCCCTTCCCGAAAGCATTGGGCCACTGAAGCACTGAAAGAAGGCCCACCAGTAAAAATTAGAAATGAATTGGGAGATTGGGAATCAGGATGGAAATTGGTCCTGACAGGTCCGGGGTATGCCGCAGTAGAGAAAGATAATATTATTAAGTGGTGTCCATTAAAATCAATAAAGCCCATGTTGTATAACTTAACTAATGAAACCTCAGAGTTTCTCTTGACAGGTCTACCACTGTAATCCTCCACGTTGACCTCGCTTCTCGTCCTTGACATGGACATCGGCAGTTTCACAACAGCCTCTGTGCCTTTGTGTTTTCCTGTTTCTAAGCATGCCTCATGTTGGACAGGGAGAACTGGATGTGCATCCTTACCGACCGTGCACCTGGACACTCCGCAATCCCGTGGATGGTAGAGTAATTGCCCAAACTGTGTCTAATGCCCCTAGTTTCATTGTTCACATCAGTGAAATATTTAACACCGATGGAACAGGAATTGACCCTAGTCAGGGAAAACCTTTCACCTATGTTAATTGGGGAACATACTGGTGCCCTAGTGTCAACCCCGGTAAAAGCTATTGCACCTCTCCTGGGTACAGGTTTTGTGGGTATTGGGGTTGTGAAACCATCATCACCAGTAACCAGTGGACACCAGCTAGGAGAGATAGTTTCCTAGACGTGGGTTTTTGGCCTAAAGGCTGCAAGTGGCCCATGTTCGGAAAAAGCGGTATGATCACTGTTAAAGGAAGCTGTTCCCACCTAAATGTAACAGTCCTGCAACCTCAGGACACCAGCTGGTCGCTAGGACAAAAGTGGTCAGTATTCCTTCATAGCTGGGATACAGATCCAAACACGATCATTCAAATTATCAGAGCTTCACCACCGCACCACACTGCTCTCGGACCCAACGGAGTTGTAGCCCAACAATACAATCACATAAACAGCAATCCCACGCCTAGCCTCACTAGTGCCACATCAGCACTTCATGGTGCGCTCGAACTGACATCTCATGCCCTCTTTCATCGCATGCTAAATGCCGCATTTCTATTGTTAAATGCAACAAAGCCAGACTTTACCCATTCTTGTTGGCTTTGCTATGACGCCAACCCGCCCTTTTACGAAGGGGTAGCCCTTAACACCATGTTTAGTTACTCCAAAGCAAATAACCCCAAGCGATGCCTATGGAACACCCCTCGCAAGGGAATTACATTAGAGCAAGTTTCAGGCAAAGGTATTTGCATAGGCAACAGACAGGCAATACAACGCCATGAAGAAATTTGTGGCACTTCTGTGACTCTGGATAAGGCTGAGTCCTGGGTAATTCCAGCAACCTCGGGAATCTGGGCCTGTAGCTCCACAGGTATTACCCTGTGTATCTCCATCAAACACTTTGATGAAGCTAACAATTTTTGTGTCCAAGTGGTTGTTATCCCTAGGATCCTGTACTTTCCTGGAGATGAATTGCCTTACCACCAAGAGAGAGGTTTCCCACGCCAAAAGCGAGAACTCATTACCGCCGTCAGCCTCGTGGTGCTTTTGGGCCTATGAGCAACAGGCTCAGCGACAGGTGTCTCAGCACTAGTGACTCAAAACCAAGGTCCAGCCCAACTGCAAACTACAGTTGATGAGGACTTGCACAGAATCCAAGAGTCTATCTCCAACTTGGAACGATCCCTCAACTCCCTTGCTGAGGTCGTGCTGCAGAACAGACGAGGA